TGGTGTAGTGTTGCACTATCCTAAATGGGAAACTCCTTTTTTCCTGTCCATCAGATTTTAATCGTAATTGTGGACTTCAATATCTGTTCTCAGGGTGATACGATTTAGTTTTATTTTCAGCTATTCTCGTTGATCACCTGAAGATGCTTTCCTTAGTTTATCACAAATATTGGGTTTGGAAACAGTCTGTATGTAAACAACTGCCACCAACCAACTTTATCAAAACAAGCGAAGTCTGTCAACGTAATATGTTTCTCTTCATTTTTTGTCAAGTTCAGATAAAACAAAAGGCAAAATTAATGTTTTGCAAAGGATTCGGCCCAACTAGAGGTGGTAAGACAAATAAAGAAAGTGGTCCACTTTTGCCATTCGGTGCATATTCAGCTGAGACCGATGTAAAATGATCTTACGAAGGTTATGTGCCGTACGATAAAACATCAATCTTGGGCAATGTTTATGTGCAGGAGAAACAAATCCAGGGAAGAATGTGATAGATTTTTATTTTAAAACGAAAATAATTATAATTACTGTACAGAAACCAATCAGGCACTAGCATATATCTGTTCAAGCAAAACACAGTCCGCTTCGGCAGAAATGTGCAGGTCTAAATGATTTTCTTATCATCCTGAGGAGCTTAATTTAAACACTTTGTATATCTTATTATCTGCCTTCCTGATTACTTGTGTGTGACGTAGAATACACCCCGTTTACCAAAAATGGAGCACATAAAATATTCATCCATAACTAAAAAATATGACAGTAGTTTCCTCATCATGAAGAGCATACGAAAAAAACTGATGAGTACCATTCATCTAATGCGAACATGTTAGTCAATGTCGTATCGTTACGAATCCACAGACATCCTCATGCGATCTAATCCGGAACTTCAAGTAGGTAAAATCAATGAATTTACCTAGGTACAGGTGATCAGACCTTTTGTTCGTTTTACCGGTAGACGATTTTGCGCAATTCATTTTAGCAAAAAATTCCAATTGTGCACCACTTAACAGTTAACAGTCGGTTGAAGACAATTCGAATGGGACGAATATGATGAATCAAGTTGCTTAAGGTTTATTGTTCACTTTACAAGCATCTCATCTACAGAAAACCAAGCAAACCCGAACTGTTCGGTGTGCGACATAGTATTTCCCAAATTCCTTATTTATTCTTTCTAAAGTATCAAGCTGATTATTGTGTACAAAGTCCCACCCGAGTGCTTTGCCACCATTGTTGGCCATGAGTAGCTTAAATTATTATCGAAAAATGTCATCGATTAAATTCAAATGCAAACTTCAGGTGGATATTTATTATCTATGAAGTTACCTTCAAGTATGTTCATTCTGATTTACTATAAAGACAGAGTGAATATGGTACTGGGAAGGCAGCCTGTCATGCGTCCACCAGTGGATGTAGGTCAATGGAAAAACACACAGGGGACAATGACGTGAGCAGCTCCTGAATCAAGTAAATCCCAACCGCACACGTTGGCAAAAGAACTAAGACCATTCCTCACTTTTCCGACAAACTGCTTCAGACTGAAAGACGCAAATGGTACCACCCCCGAAATGATAAGCAGTATGAGTACAATGAAATTCCTTGGTCGCACCGTCTGAGGGTGCTCTATCCTAGCGACCAATTGCTACATATTCATTCAAAAAATAAATTCTTTATACACAGTAAAATACTGAAAAATTTATCTCTCAAATCGCTGAAGCTCAGTCAACCTGAAATTTTCTAAGCAATCAACTAGTGGTTACTCAAATGATATGATATCTATTTGGCCGGAAGTTGGTTCCCATGGTAAAAGAGTCCAGATAGGGATTACGGTCCTGGTTAGGGTTCCAAAAGGCTGATTTCGATGACCAATTTGCAAACGATGTGCCACAAATTAAATTACCCCTCGTCTCAGCACTGTCATTCCAAGACTGTACGGATTATTACTACATCAGAAACGTACTGTCGTCCTCGGGGAATATCAGCCTGATCCACACATCTTACTCAAAAGAACCCATAGGCAAATCGAAACTGTCGCAACGGGACATCAAAAAGTACGCAAAATGGTAAAACTTTTGAGTGATCAATCTAAATCTTTTTATAGATTTTTCTCAGTGATCAAGAGGCAAATATGTAGAATGAACTAATAGCTCAAGATCGGGAACATATATCATTTGGCATGCATAATCATCGATACGCTCTAATTTATCGTGTCTATATGGGTTGGCAACAATACAAAGGACTTGTACTTTGACCCGTTGTATTAATGGGTGGTTCGCTGTATTATGCAACAACACAGTGGCAGTCAAAATTTCTATAACCTGACTAGTAAAAGCTAATGAAGCATTCAGTATGATACGGCTTTCAATTCGTTGGGGTTATCGAAGAAAAAAGCTCAAAGAATAACTAATTTCCATGTGAGCTAAATAACGGTCTAATAATGTGACACCATACATTACTGCCCATCTTAACATAACGCCTACTTTAGAAATGGAGTATAACAACAAATTGCCGTTTCTAGATGTCTGCATCACTCGCCAATCAGATGGTTCGATGTATAGAAAGGTAACTTGGAAAGACCAATAAATCCATTTCCGAAGCTACGAGGTAAAAAGGAAACTGGTTCGTCGCCTAGCGTACAGGGCAAGAAAGACCTACAAAGGGGACACTGTAGAAGAGCTCCGTGATATAAGATGAATCTTTTCACGTAACTGGTATCCCGAACGTTTAACCAACAAAATGACTTAGTTCATGGAGAGCACTTTACAAGACACTGAAGTTAAGAAAAAGCCCGTATACATTTCTTTGCCGTTCAGCTGAGATCATACAAAGAAGATTATCCGACGCAACCGATATGACTTTCCATGCATCAAAGCTTCATGTGTTGTTTACTTCCAAGCCAACTGTAAGCTTGCGACTTAAAGACAAAGTACATAGACCGCATGATCAGGCGATGGTTTGAACGGGTTCGTGAAAACAACCTCGCGTGACTGAACACCGCATTGATTAATTCTCATCAGTGCAGCGGTTTCACACCTAGCTGAAACATCACACTGTAAACGTGGCCGAGGTTTTCCGTCCCCTGTAGAGAGTCCGTGGCTGATTATCGAGGCAAGTTGGCTGTCGCATTCTAGTCACAGTAGAAGCGGTGGGAATTCGCTTGCACAACCCACCACTGTGTGCCACAAAACAATTTGTGCATGTGCTTAACCTTCCCGGGCCCACTCCACGCACACCGCATGACAAATAATCTCGACGATCAGATGAGCGAATACAACTTTTGGTCTCAAGGAGAAACCGTATCAAGTAATCTGTGATATCATGTGATTTCATTTCACTTTATTTTCCAAAGAGTTTTATTCCCAAGCAGTTATACACATTGTAAGTTAGATGGTGAATGTTTGGATTAGCCCATTCGGTTTCTCACAGGTACCAGGCACCGTTGATGATCGTCTGTGTAGGTTTCATTCGTTGAAAGTTCGTTAATTCCCCCCACCATTTTAATGCATTTAATGGTGTTCAGTGCTCCTTTTCGATCATCACAAAGATTTCCATCTTATGAAAATGCACTAAACTGGTAGGGGATTGACGAACTTTTAAGGAGTGAAACCCACATACAAGATCATCAACAGTGCCTGGTACCTGTGAGAAATCGAATGGGCTAATCCAAACATTTACCATGTAAATTGATTGAGCCATTCGCACAAAGTGGTGACTGTCGACCATGTAGCACAGGGGCAAGAGTTTGAAGTCCCATCTCGAAAGTTCGCTGTTCGAGTACTGACAGAGACACAAAATTACGCACTGTCATGAATTATTCGATAATTGGCACAAGAAATATTGCAAGCTTCCTCGCCTGATGGTTACTTTCGGCATCACCCTAATTTTTACCCCATCCTATACTTCTATTCTGCTTCTCAATTTTTAACTCTGTAAACGCGACTGGTTGCCTGTAACATCTCCATCCGTTTTGTGGTCTGAATTGGTTACTGCGTCATAAACACTGGCCCATTCAATATCTCTATCTATTTCATTCCTTCGCTGATCCCTAATTGTTACTCAATACGTGAAATTGGTAATGATTCACGACATTTCTTGCTAATTTCTCCGTGATATATATATATATATAATTATTAGACGCAGTATCCAAATTGCCGCACTTAGACTGGCGGCACCGTTCTACTTTCAACTTTCAGGACAGGCATGATGTCGGAAACCAGTGCAACGTATGCTCCAGTCAGTAGGGTACATTGAGGTTAAGCGTTGACAGCCAGCTGGAACCAATAGAAAATGAAAGGTCCCTGTATTCATCAAACGGATGAAATTCACATGTACCTCACCAACATATACAAACATTGTGTGATGGCTAACGTATAAATGAGACTGTTTCTATGTTATTTCCCGACGCACTGGCAAAGAAAACAGAGACGGCGACCGCCGAACGTCAGATGCGCCAAAAGGCAGATTGAGGAGCCGTTTGAGGTCCGTAGAAATCGTGAGCTTGGTTTGTGAGCGAAACAATCCCGGATCATTGCGACAAATACTCAATTTATCACATAAAACAATGGATATGAACGAAGGTAATCTAGAAAAAAATAAAGATAATGAAAATTAAAAACCAATCGAATAAAATGTGCACTTAGCACTTCAGTCACACTTTCCAAAGCCAAGGCCGCTATTTTTCCGTGATTGACGAAACTCGCAGGTGAATGGGTGCAATGGGGACAAAATGGTTGTCAGTTGGTGCATGGATCAAACAGAACCCGGAAAAGGCTGACGGAGACAATTTCCTACTGGCAAGCTTGCCGTTCCTAGGACGAATAAATTTGGCTTCGGAAAAATCCTACAGGAAGCATCTACACACAAGGCAAAAGAGTGCAAGCACATAGGACAGAAAGCGTAGTACAAGGGAGAGCGGGAGGGTATCAAACAGCTTCTGACTCATAGCGGGTTGAGGTTCAGTGTGAATTTTCGTTTTGAGTTGTTGGTTATCTTGGTCATTATTGTTAGAAAAGAAGTAATGAATGCACCGCAACAGATTGTTGTTCCAACTTTTTCCGTCCATGCAAATCAGTCAGTTCCATAACCACTACTGCAGCAACTGGAGTGGCACCGGTTCTTTGGATCAATTCCACTGCAGCAACAAGACTGCCCCCGGTGGCAAGGAGATCGTCCACAATGAGAACTTTGTCACCTGGCTTCAGTGCATCCTTCTGCAACTCCACTTGGGCCTTTCGGAAAGCAAAAGAAAAAATAATAGAAAAAATTATGTTAAAATGGCCACTTTGATGTGAATACTTGCACAAGTTTCATACGAACTCGACAATCAAGCTGTTTTATATAACAGAAGGTTTTTAGTTAGTGCACAGCGATGTGCATACATAACTTATATCACTAAAATTGTGCGCTTTTACCGCAAGATGCTTTTGTAAACAATTTAAAACAAAATATCTAAACTTTTACAAAAGGCCTCATGAATGAACTAGTAGATCCAATGTAAAGTTTCTCACAAACCCTCGTAATAGACAGAAAGTCCTGAAAAAACTACCCCAAACGTCAGAGTCCAGTCTCGTTCCTTTTTTCACAACAGTTTTGAGTGATGAACAGCAGACGGGGTGAACCCCATAGAGGTGAAGACCTACCATTCTGTGATGGAAACCGACAACCTAAGCCCGGGGACTTGGAGTGGCGAACCACTTCAGACCCCCACCTCCAGGAAAGCTCTCCCAGAGTAAGCTGCAAAGACTCCCCCGTGTAGATTCAAAATATGATCAGCATTTTGCTACTGAAATGAAAGGGAATGAGAAACCTATAATTGCGACTCGGGTTCTCGATGA